AGGCAGGAAGGAAGCCGATCTGCCACTGGAGTCTTGCATTCTGGTCTGTTTGACAGCTAGCTCTGTTTCCGTAAGCAAGTGACCCTTCTAAATCCAAGCAGCCTTTTCTGTAAAATGAAGATGATTTCTTTCTTAGAAGGGTTTTATAAGGAATAAAGGACAGGGTGGTCCTGTGTATTCCTCCTAAACAGAAGTCCACACTATTCACAGATCCCATCAAGCCAACTTGCCTCCCTAAAAGATTCTGGAAGGTTTACATTTTTTATTGTATTATCCATTGAAGGAAACATGCTTCTGTGCATCCTAGTAAATATGAGCTTGTTTGTGTTCCCTCCAGGAGGAAAAGCTGACCAGCAAGAAGAGCGTAGGCGACAAAAGCAGATGAAAGTCTTGAAGAAGGAGCTTCGTCACCTGCTCTCCCAGCCATTGTTCAAAGAGGACCTGAAAACCAAGTATCCCACTCAGTCTGGCAGACTGCCCCAGCTCACAGCTGCCCCAAGGACTGGCGAGTCGGCACTGAGCTGCCTCTCCAAACAGAAGAAGAAGAAGAAGAGGCCAAAAGAGCAGCAGCAAGGACTGCCGCAGCCAAGTACAAGTGCAGAGTAACTGCCCCTGGTCAGTGTTGGTGTCTGCACATGGTGTCTGTTCTCTGGTTGTATGTGAAAAGCTTCTCCCCATCCTTGTGCTTCACTCAGTTTCAACCCATTAGGAAAATTTCCTGCTCTTTCCCCATAGCAGGAGGGGTCTCAGGCAGGTTTACATTGTTTTGGAGTAAATCCTGCACAGCAGCTTGTTGTTCTGTATTCCAGTGTATACAGGCTTCTTATGTGTTACAAGCTTCTTTGATTTCCTGAATTAAAAACAATGGTCAGAGACAGAATGTCTTCTTATATTTGTAGCCAGAAAATGGGGTGTGCAGTTTCCTAATTAACTTAGTGGTTCCCCTGGGTCAGCACAGTGCTAGTTCCTGGAGAGGGTAGGAACCGTATCATAGGCCTTGGCAGCTGGTCACTGGAGCACATTGCTCTAAGACCTCAGCACGTATTCCTGCCCTTAGCCATAGCGGCACCCTACCAGCCACCTAGCTCTGGGCCATTCCCTGCTGGCCATTGCTTGTCTGAGCTGCCTTGTAAGGTGGGCACAGCAGAGGTTGCTGTCCTAAGGCTTCCTCCCATTGTAGAGCTAAGTCATGATTGGCTGGGTCAGGAGCAGGAGGCCCTGGGATCTTACTCAAGCCTGTTCTCCTCTCTTCATTGACAGAATGGACTCCTGCCAGATTCCACATACGCTTCATTTTGTCCCAAGCCATTTTACAAAACAGCTTTCCCCTCAACCTGCATGCCTGTGCACTCTCTACCCTGCTGTGTGTCCTCCAGGAGCAGCAGTGCTCTCCCTGTAGTGCACTTCAGTGCCCTGGTCCCTCCTCAGAGCACCTGCTGTAGCAGCATTCCCTGGGCTGAGGTCCAGGGCGACTGGGCCCTTGAGGCATCAGACCTGGTTTAAATTTGTGTTGAGGGAACGAATGTCCTGGTACTGTCCCAGCTTTGCCCGGGGTCATTCCCTAGGGGAGCACCCATAGCTGCCACAACATAGGAGGAGCATAGATCTCTGCACAGCTCATCTGGATGTTCACGCAGAGCACACCTGCTTGGTCCACGGGGCCCTATGGGTTTGAAGAGGGTACACAAGAGGACCCTGGCCTCCCTCAGCCTCGAAAGTTTGGGAGGATGGCAGCAGGATTCCCTGAGCCCCTCTGGATAAATGACAAGACACTTGGCCTTGTGCCTGAACAGATTCAGGTAGCACTGTCAACTATGTGCCAGCTGTTATTAGATGCTTTTTATCTATTTTGATTATCATTTCAGTCTTCCTCAAGGCCAAGGCAAAGCTTAAGTGAGGAATCTGAGGCTATGCTCAGGGCCACACAATAGCCAAGTGGGATTAGAACCAGAGAGCATCTTCCCTCTGGACACAGGGCAGGTTCAGAAAACTGCTTTTTTCTTGGGAAACAGCAGTGTCACCAGGGAATACACCTTCCTGGCTCCCAGTGTCAACTGGTGACCTGAGCAGGAGGAGCAAGCGCCTCTTTGTGGGAGGTCATTTCCTGACATGTGCCAGAGAGCAGGGGAACTCCACTCTCCAAATGAGGCAGACAGAGTCAATGGGGTCAATAAGCCGGTTTAAGGTGCCTGAGGAGCACTTGGGCCATGGGAGGCCTAAGGCCATTGTCATAGGCCAGACATAGATTCTTGAGAGAGCCAGCTTTCCAGGCTGTTCTTTCAGCTGGTGTGGAGAGGTTTGGGAGAGATCATGTGGGCAGAGCCTCTCTCCTGGACCACCCATTAAATAAGGAACATTCCTCCTGCATAGTTCACTCCAATTCAGAGCCCTGTAGCAGGGTGGTATAGCCCTTGGGGACATGCCAGGTACTCAAAATAAAGAAGCTGAGACAAAAGTTGTTTATGGAAAACATTTTAATGTTAGGAAACTTCACTGGCTGCCCAGGGAAGCAGCAGGGTATGACCTCTGAGCATTCACTGGACCACAGCCCCTGCCTTGCACTACTGCTCATGGTGGCAGCGTGTTGGCTTAGACTTGTCTGATGGTTCCCCTGACGTTCCTACTGTTGGGGAAGCCACAGTCACTACCAAGGTGGCAGGTTTCCCCATCTAGCAGTGCTCTGCTCCCTGTGTCCCATGGGTAGAGCACCGACAGGTCAGGTGTGACATGTTTTCATATACATGATCTCATGTATATGAAAACGTGTATTCCCTGTGATACCTGCTGTCTCTCTTGCAAATGTGAGGATGAGCTCAGAGAGGTGAAGAGACTTGATCAAACAAAAGTGATGAGAGGCACAGCTGGGATTTGAACCCAGGTGTCAGGTTTTAGAGCCCTTTCATTTGTGCTTAAAATAGGAAACCAGCCCAAAGCATACACACTGCTCCTCCTGTTGCTAAATAGTTCCCTTCAATTATTTCCTATGGGAAAAAAGCATACACATGCAGTTATAATTCACACCCTAAAAGCAACTTCCTTCCAGCATTTGGTCTGGAAAGAGGCGGCTCTGTGGGGACAGCAGGTCACCCAGGAAGTGGGGGTGGCAACCTGACACCACTCAGACAAACCAGGTGACCACATGGCTTCCTGAGTCTTGCCATGCCTCTTCCTCCCCAGTTCTTTCCCTGAGACAAAGGTCTGAGGGAAGATGTGGAGGCAATGAGGGCAGGTGGTTTGAATTTGGCTGGTGGGTTTATGTAAAAGGAGAAAACCAGAGGATACGACCACGGAGATGACATGACCTGCTTCTGCCAGACTGTGGGCATCCTGATCCTAACTGGCTGATTCTGTCCTAGAAAAGGGCCCAGTGCAGCTCTGTGCGGCTCACCTGACCTTGGCCTGGAAGCCAAGGTCAGGTGAGCCACACAGAATATCACAGCCACAAAAGCAATGAATTGGTAGCTAGGGCTGGCTTCTGCTGTGCTTAAGAGCTCAGCTGGAGTGCCCAGGACCCATCTCACAACCCCCTGGAGCGGCCCGGGTATTAGCCAGCATCGTGTGTTCATGCCCTTCAGTGTGGAAAAGGACACCCTGGGATCTTGTTTGGCAGATGATACCAGAAGATACACCGAGTCTTGCGGTACTTGTCTTGGGTACTTGTCCTACCCAGAGCAGGATGGATTACAATAAATATAGAGATGACAGTCAGGTGGCATCCTGTGAAAGAGGGACATAATCACTTAGCTTGAGCCCGTGGGTCCAAATGCCAATGAAGGACAGTGGGAACCAGGGCCCACCTGGAACTAAAGCACCCCAACTCTGAGAGTGCTGCTGGCTTTCATCAAGGCAAGAGTGATACAAATGTGATGATTGTGTCAAGACTTAGGAGTCTGCTGCTTAGTCCTGCGTAGACTGTCAGCAGACTCCCTCAGTAGCACCAATGTATTCTAACAAATCCCTGCACAATGAAACCTGTGAGAAAATGGCCTTCCATTAAATAGGGACCCCAGAAGGTGATTCTACACCCTCTGTCTCCCTGTAATCCTGCAGCAAACAGGTGGTTGGCAGCACCGCAAACCAGCCAGTGTCATTACGCTCCACTGCTGGGGTGTTGCCTGCCAGCCTGGGGGGGGACTCATAGGGGTCCTGGGGGGGGGGACTCATAGGGGTCCTGGGGCAGCAGGGCGAGGAGCTTCCTAAGTGGGGGGCATGTCCAGGTGGATGAGTGAAGAAGCTGCTAGCCAGGGCTGTCAGGCCATCTTCACCAAGGAAATCTCCTGCCAGCGTCCACAGCTGCTCTTCTGTTCTCTCCCACCAACCCCTCATCAGGCCATAAAGAAAACGGGTGGGAGGAAGGAGCCAAAGACTGCCTTGCAAAATGACTGTTCATGTGGAGTCCACAGCTGCAAGCTCCCCTTCCTTGATGTAATCTAGGACTTACTGGGGCTGGCAGGACACTTGTGGCTTCCTAGTCCCAGCCATTCACACACAGATTTCGGTGCAGACCCTAGACTTCATCTAGTCTTTAAAAGCCAGGCTGTTCTCCCCTGAGAGGTAGAGGGACTCCAGCAACCTGAGTTTCATTCTGAAGGCTAAAGGCCCTTTGCTGGACTTTGGTATAAAAGTCTCTCTTTCTCTGTAAGTGAAGGGTGGGAAAACAGGCCCATCATGAATGGAAGGAACCACAAGGAAGCCCTGACCTTCAGTCAGCCTGACAAGACTGGACTGACCTTGACAGCTTCAGGTCAATCACCAAGTCAATAGCTGACTTGAGGTTTGCCTCCTGGACCTGGCAAGGAGAAACATGAGTTCCTCGTTTTTACACAACAGAATGTCCACACTGGCAGGAACCACCTCCAGATGAACAAACAGGTCCAAAGAGGGCAGGTGACCCACACAGGGTCTCACGGTTACTGGCTGGCATGCGGAGCCAGGGATCCTGGCTTTCTGGCCCAGAGTTAGAAGGTATTTGGTCCTTCATAAAATAAATACAAAAAATACACGAAGTTACCACCATCCATAGTGGGCAGGCCTCATTCCCATGGCTCTGCCCAAAAGGCTGTACATGTTCTAGTTAGAGTCCAAATCGCTTAAAAAACTGAAAAGCCGGCATGTTCCATTTAGAGTGCAGTCCCGTGAGGTGAAGGTTCCACTGCGTGGCCTAAAATTAATCAATGTTTATCAGCTGCATAGAGGATGTTGTAGTGGGATGTTTTATAGAGCAGGTACACGGAAGGGACGGCGGCCTCTGGGAACACGTGGTGGTTCAGGGCGGTGTCCATCTCGTCCACATATTCCACTTGCAGGGCGATGTTCAGCGCCTGGGACAGGGCTGTGATCTGGATGTGGTCACATTCCATGGCCATGGGCTCCACTTCCTGCAAAGCCAAAATGAAAAACAAACCAGCTTAAGAGGGAGGCCCTGTAGAGGACGGGTGGGTTCAGCCTTGGCTCTCTGGGCCACGGTTACAGCCTCTGTGCTGGGACAGGATCTCACAACCATGCGTGAGGTAGGAGCTGACCTCATTGCAGAGGAGGCTGAGGCTCTAGAGGAAGCGACTCACTGGAGCTGCAGATGCGGAATTCCAAATGAGGAATCTGAAAAGAGGGCTGGAACTTTTCAGGTTGTCATCAAAGATTCAGGGATGAAAGGACCCTGTCATCAAAGGCTTCCAGGCCAAAGTGCTCAGGGGGACAGGCCAGAGGGTGGGTGGGTGAGTATCTGAGTCTGGGTGATGACGAGGCCATGGAGAAAGGCAGTAGAGGTGGCAGATGTGTCCCACAGAGAGGCCAGCTGCTACTTAGGGCCTACTGCTGTTGCCATGAAGAGTTGGGGCCTCGGGCTTGATATTCTGATTTTTTTAGAGACATCCAGATATTCATATAAAAATTACCCAATTGTTAAATACTGGCCCCCTCCTTCAGAAAAATACACCGCTAACCAAAAACATATCTCGGGGCCAAGGTGACTCTGAGATTTTGTAAATAGGCTGGTCCAAAGCCCTGGTTTTCCAGAGGGAAATGCCCAGGTGGGAAAGTGACTTGCCCTAAGTCACCTGGTTCAGGCAGCTCCAGGAGGCCCGGGTGCTGCTGTGAACCCAGCGTAATTTGAATTGCAAGTGCAGACCTGACGTCCACCATCCCCTGGCCAGGGACAGTGGTGCTAAAGTTTGCAACAGATGGACAGGTGCAGAGCCCAGGGGCGGGGCTGTGTCCCCAAGGCCCGAGACCCTGGGGACCTACATGAGTGCAGAAGTCCTTGATGTCCATCTCCTCATCGATGAAGTGCCGGAAGAAGTCGGCTCGGTTCTTGATGAAGGCTGATGTAAGCAGGCGCAAGAACTGCACGATGTGGTCGGAAGAGCTCTGGTCGTTGAACACCTTGAGCAGGCTGGACACGGAGCCGTCCCTCTCCACCAGCTCCACCACACTGTAAAACTGCACCCCGCTGGCCGTCAGCAGGGGAGACCCAGCAGAACCCACCCAGGGGCTCCCTAGGGGTTCACTTTGAGATTCTCGGGCCGTGGTAGGACAGCATTCTTAGAGTCTGCCAAGGCCAAGCAATGGGGTCAGTGTGTCAGACCAGAGGCGCTGCAAGGGACAGGCACAGGCCCCTCCACCACATGGGCAGGGTTCCTCCACCTCACATTCAGCGTGGCACAGGGCTAGGAGTCCTGGAAGCTGCCCCTTTACTAGTAGATGGGGACAGCAAGGAGGGCAGGGCACTAGGTCCCCTGTGCCCACACATGCCACCAGCAGGAGCAATCCTGAACCTCCCCAGGCCCAGATGGGAGGAGCCAGAGGTCCCAGGCGCAGAGCTGCAGGCCCAGGGCTCAGCAGGGCACTCCTGCCCGCTTCACAGTGTGGAGGGCCCTGGCTCCTCGGCAGCGTGGTCCTGGTGAACTCACAGCATTGAAGAAGTTTCGGAACTTGTGCTCCTCAAAGCCGGCAGCCAGAAGGTCACTTGGAGTCTGTAGGACACGCTCTTTGAACCTAAAGGCCATTAGACTGGGTGATTACGGGAGAACACAGGGTGCCATCATGAATGACCACTGCTCAGCCCATGCCAACCCCACACACACCGAGGGGGTACAGGAAGAGCACCTGTCCACCTCTCCAAGCACTCCACACTGACCATCTCCTGTCCCCACGTGACCACCCGGGAGGCATCTACCGTGCTGCAGTGGAGGAGGTGAGGGACTCGTCCCCCTCTCTCAGAGGCCTGCAGTCCTCCTCCTTGTCCCTGTGGCCCCACCTTCTCACTTCCATGCAACCTGCACTTGCCACCCCCCCCCGCCTCCATGGGGATCTCTGGAGTGACCAACACGCTGCTCTCATGGAATGCTCCTGCTCTGCCCATAGCACACAGACCCCCACACGTATGTCCCTTGGCACCTCACAGGCAACCCAACAGCAAGCCACGGGCCCCCACTGCCATTCCCCACTGGCACGTTCCTCCTGAAGCCCCTGCGACCCTCTGCAGGACACGCTTGAGGGGCTGCCAGAACTGGTATACCCCCACTTGCGAGGGCTGCGTTTGCAGCCAGGTGTTCACATGGTCATTATTAAAACCCAAACGGTATAAACTTACGATGAAACACCACATACTAAAAAACAAAGAGGACAAATACTCAAAGGTCATCATTCTCTAATTATCTGGTGTCACCTATACTCATGAGGTCACGGGCCTACTGTGTCTGGTGGGCACACAGTAGGGACTACCGTGTGTGGTACCTTGGTTTCTTCCCAACTCTTTGCTGGTATTTACACCACAGAAATCGGCCAACTCCACGGATGGGGTCACGCCCCACCCCCACCCTACAGTTATTAAACCCTTGCCAGGACCCGGTCACCAGTCACCGCCCATGGTCTTGCTCTGAGTCTGCTCCTTTGTGGAGCCTCTCACACTGAGCCTGCCTGGCACCTGCCATGATGCTGGCGGGAGCAGAACAAGGAGCCCCTGCCTGACCCCTGGCTCCAAGACACACAGAGCTGACAGCAGGGACAAGACACAGAACCAAGGAACTGCAGGCTGTGTGGGAAGGGCTGCGTGCCATGCAGGGACCGAGTGAGGGGCACACGCGGCCCCTTGCCATGCTCAGTTCTCCAGCCCAGCAGCCGGTCCCCTGGGAAAGCTGACAAGGACCTAGGAAGCAGAAGGCGTCACAAGAGCCTGCCACTGCTGGAGAAGCCGTGAGCTGGGCAAGGCCTGGAGAGCCTCGGGGAGGGGGAGCTAAAACAGGAGTGGGCGTTCCTGCCAAAGGCGTCCTGGTCACTTCCGGGCTGCACACACCTGAGACCCTGATTTGACCAGGAGGGGCCGCAGGGGAGGGCACAGACAGAGCTGGATTCTGCTCACAGCTCCCCAACTCCATCAAGCTGTGGCCTCAGGCCCCGTCTGCACACATGTGGGTGCCTACAGACCTCTGCTGCAGGCTACGTGAGGACAGGACTTTCTACTTCTGTGGCTGCTGTTGCTCTGCCCACCAGCACCCCCTCCAGTCAGGTCCCAGGGGGACTTGAGGGTCTGACCTGCAGCAGCCTCATGGTGGCCCCTGCCTGTCCCCAGCTGTGGCCTGGGCACTGGCAGCGCTTCAGGAGGCCGCTGCAGCTCTCTGGGTCCACACATTTTGTCCCCGGCAAGGCCACAGCACACAGCTCTGCTCCTGGATCCCTGCCCCCCACTCCTTCTCCCCTCTGCCCCTGGGCCACCCACCCCTGAGCCCCTGCCTCATTCACTCCTCACCAAGACTGTGGGCTCCTCTCTGCCAGGCCTGGGGCACGTGGAGATGAGTGACCTGCAGGCCTCGCTGAGTGGGGCAAACCCTTGGGTTAGCTCCCCATCTGTGTGGGGGTCTCTGTGCCATGGGCCAACAGCATGACAAAAGAGCTGACATGGTGCACGCATCAGGGTCTAAGCACTCACAGGAGCCGGCCACTTAATGCCCACAACAACAGCAGGCCACCACTCCCTGGGGAGAGGGAATTACAGAGCAGACATGCAGCCTTCCTGGGGCACTATGGACAGGACAGTCAGAGTCGGGCCAGAGCCCATGTCTGGCAGTGTGACAGGTGCAAGCTCCATCATCCTGATGGACCCTTTGCCTGAACGCAGGTGGCAGTACGGGGTTGGGGAGCCTCGAGGGAGGGTTTCCTGGGCTCCTGGAGGCCTGGATATATTTCCAACAGGGAGTGACTTGATCCCATATTTGTTTATGAAAGAAAATGCTGGTGGCCACTGGGCGCAGGGCCTGTTCCCGGAATACTGGTCTCCTAACCTGGGGAGACTCGCACTCGATGGCTCGCAGATGTTTCAGACTTAGCATCACCAAAATGGAGCTCCACAATTCCCTGCCTGCCCTTTGCAGCAATGGCTACTCCAGGCTAGCACAGGGGAGGCGACTGGACCCTGTCTCCACCCACCGGCCACACTCAAGTCCTGCATGAACCTGCAGACGCCACCTTCTCAGATAATTAGAATTGACACTTCCCTCCACAGCCCTTCCCTATGCTCCTCACACCACCATCTCTGTTCTGGACCTCTCCCCAGGCATGCCTCCTGGGCTGTGTCCCCACCCTGCCTCCACCTGAACAAAGAGCCAGCAGGTCAGGTCCCCACTCTGCTCAGTCTCTAGGTGGCCACTACAACATTCAGCTGAAGGCCACAACCCCTAGAAAGGTCCAAGAAGCCTTGTGTGCCCTGCCCCCAACTCTGTTTTGCATTGCTCCTCAGCCACCCTGGGCCTGATTCTTTCCCACGACACTCATCGCCACCAGGCACACCAAACATGGCACCCACATACTTCCATCTGCTCCCACAGGGCACAAGCCCAACGAGGCAGGGATTTTTGTCTCTTGCTCATGACTCTATCCCCAGGCTGGAGCTGGGTCTGCATGTGGTACCTCAGATGATGACTGACAAGCTGAGGGCTGGCATCCCGGCAGGAACAGGGTGAGGGGAACAGCGCATGTGGAGCTGGCACAGGCTTGGCTAGCATCACCCTGCTGAATGCTCATGGCAACTCTGAAGTGCACTATACTGTCCTCCTTCCCAAATGGGGACACCGAGGCTGGAGAGGTCAGGACCTCTGTGGCATTAGCTTTGGAGGCACCCGGCCAGCTGTATACCTGGTCACACTCACTGGGGCCAGGCCAGCAGGGTGGTTCAGAACACCAGGGTAAGCTTCCTCTTCTGTGTTCCTCTCTTGTTGGCCTAGGTCACCAAGTACCCAGCCAATGTGACTCGCCTGGCTTGACCCAGACGTGCAGGGGTGCCCAGGGCTGCCAAGCTCCTGGAAGGTCGCTGAGCTCTGGGCAGCCCTCGCCTCTACCACAGAGGGCAGCAGGCTCCCCAGCGCCAACAACTTGCCACCCGTGCAGCCCACTAGCTCCCCTTCAGGAGAGCCAGGGCCGACCCAGCACAGAGAACCCAGGGACACGCCACCCACGACCCACTCACTTGAGGATCTCTCTGCTCTTGCCTAGCAGAGACTCCAGGTAGGCATAGCCCAAGGCCCGGTAGAAGCAGTTCCCATCCCCTTTGGTCTTGCGGATTGCGGTGAATCTTTTGCTGAGTTCCTGTGGTCCCAAGAGAAAAGGACATGAGGACATTTGCAGTAACATGTGACAGTGACTTTCCTCCCAGGTAACACCTACTCGCTCCCTGCTGCCCATCTGCGCTCATTCTCAAATGCACAAATACACTGATGTGGCCCGAGTGTCAGGCATGGAGGACCCTGGCCTGTCCCCAGGCAGCCTGCAGTAGGGGAGGTGACAGGCAGCTGAGTGATGGTGATAGGAGGGGTGACTCGGGGCAGGGACATCCACACCAACTGCAGTAATCAGGGAGGGCTTCCGGGAGGTGGGAGGTGGCTCCTGTGAGCAGACAGGTGGGCCAGGGGGTCAGCGGAGCTGCCGGTGGGCACTGGTGCTGCAGGTGGGAGGAGGGGCCTCCTCAATGCACACGGCCATGTGGACAGTCCTACAGACATTCCTTGCAGGACAGAGGAAGGCCATGCCACTCCATGGGACTCTGCTCCTGGCTGCAAGTGGCCTGGATCCCCTTTCCTATCCCATGGGGCCGCAGTCAGGGTTCTGCCAGCAAAGCGTGGTTTTCAAGGGGTCAGGAACCCCAGGTCCCATCACAGAGATGGAGAGGCTCAGAGCCTGGGCCGCCTGAGAAGGCTGGTGGGGTGGCAGGAAGTGCCTGGCTCCTGCCCCTGGCAGTGCACCCTGGGGAGGCCTGTGGATCTTTAGCCACCCACTGCCACCACCCTGAGCTGCTGAAGGACACCTACTCCATGAGGGAGCCCTTAGCAGCTTGGGTCTACAGAACTACAAGAAGGGTTGGGGGGCTGGGCAGCACTTCCTGTCAGTGCCGGAGCAGGCCCACTCTACCCTGGTGAGAGGAGGGGAGGAATCTGCCCAAGATGAGGGCAGATTGCTCCTCCCTGTCCTTGTCCCCAGAGGGAGTCTCACAGCCCCCAGGAGGCTCCTTTTCCTGAGAGTCCCCTGGTGCACTGGTTTTGAATACGACCCAGGAAATCAGGATGCCCAGTCCAAATTCCAACTCGGCCACTCAGGAGCAGGCTCTGACGGTGCCCTGGCTTCCCCAGCTGTAAAGTGGGGATGCACAGTCCCTGCCCTCAGCAGTGATGAAGCTTAGTGAGCGAACTGAGCACCTGGGATAGTGCTCAGCTTTTAAAACAATGTCTAAAAACAAACAAACAAACAAACAACAAAACAAGGAATAGATTTCTTGCTGAATAATCTGGAGTGTTTTAATCGGCTCAGGAACCCAAGCTAGACTCTTAGACTTCAAGGCGGCACCTTCTTGACCCCTGACTCCAGTCCATTCCATCTAAAACCCCCAGCCTCCCTGTCCCCTCCTCACCTGAATTTTCCTCTGATAGATCCTATTTTCAGGATGATCCCGAAGAATTGATAGAATGTCACATTTTTCTGATATTAGGTTGAAAGATGTTTCACTCTGAAAGACAGGGGAGGTAGAACTGCTGTGATGATTTCAAAAGCACCTAACGGGGTCACCCGGCCATTACCTGGTGGATGGCCTCTGAGCTGCTAACCTGGGCACGTGGCCAGCATCCTAGATGCCCACCTGGACTGTCACAGTGCCAGGACAGGGATGGTCGGGATCAGCATGGTGAAGAGGTATCTCTGGTTCTGAGGAAAGTCACTTGTGACCTGCAGACTGACCCATTTTGTAAAACATAAAACCTCCAACCTGTGCCTCCATCCTGCCTGGACATTCGCTCAAACATTCCTGTACATCCAGCCCCTGCCAAGGCCACTGTCACACACACAGGGGAGAGCACCCAGGCCCCTCCACCAGGCCAGGCTCATGTCTAGGGAAAAGGCCGGAATGAGGAGGCCCCCGCTGGCAGCAGGGGGAGGTCGAGAGGTGCCAGAAGGATCTGGAGATCTGGGGTCATGCAGCAGACACGGCCTCCCCGCAAAGCTCACGCTGCAGCCCAGTAAGTCAAGGTCAAGTCTAGTCAAGATGGACTGGCTTCCCAGAGCCAGGTCTCTCCAGGGCTGAGAACTCAGCGGGCGGGGAACGGCCTTTTCCCAGGGCCAGGGAAACCACGGGAGAATCTGCTCTGCTGGCTTCCCAAGGCCTCGGGCCTCCACTCCGCCCCAGATCCACCCTCAGGTCACCATGAAAACACGGCAAGGGGAAGTGTTACTCAGGCCGCTCACACTTCCTGGGTCAAAGGGAGCGCTCCGGCAACCCAGGGAGACCAGTGTCACACAGGGTACCCAGCTGGAAGGCTGTGCACCGTATTTCTGTAATGGAAACCCAGTACCCCACCAGCTGTGCCCCCGACCCTGACACCTAGCTGTGGCTCAGCTTGTCTCTCACTTTGGGCCTCTGATCACATGAACGTGGCCTGTCGGCCTCATGGCTGACTCAGTAACGGGCACACCCCGAAGTGCCTCTGATGTCACAAACCCTGACGCCGCTGGGAGAAGCCTTCCTGGGGTGGTGATGACTAGCCTGCCAGAGCTGCACAGCCAGGGCAACAGTGGGGCCTTGGTGACTCCTAGGGCCGCTCCTGTCCCCACAGGGACAGGCTCCAAACTTCTGAGAACGACCTTCTCTGGCCCCAGTTCCTACACCCAGCATCAGACCAGGGAATAGGCGCTGGGACTGCAGGGTTGTCCCCACCTCCGTGTCTCCAGTGCCACTTGGCCTCCCTTCGTCAGACTGTCTGAGACCCAGGGCTCATCACGGGGCCTGGCACAGGGAGGGATAAGGAGTCTGTGAGTGAACAAATAAAAGCCACCCTGCCGAGCCAGCCTGGGCTCCCCTGGAACCCGCACGTGTCCCTCTTCTCCCCTCCCCCAGACTTGGGGGTTGGAGCTCCCCAGAGGATCAGGGAGAAGCTGTCACCCCAGAGAGCAAGAGAAAGTCTTCCCAAACAGGGCCTGAGGTACAAAGGTCTGGGTGGGGGAGAGGAATCCTGAGTTCATTTCTAGAAGTTTCCATTCGATACTCTGCTCCTTTGCAAAGTCAGCCTCAGGCTCCTTGCTCCCTTCTGCCCTGACACTGAGGTGGCACTCAGGCAGTCGCTGCAGGCTGCTGTCCCCTCAGCGGTTACCAATTTCTTCCCCACCCACAGACCCCAGTTTTCTGGCCACATGATGAGAAATGACCGGGTGGGCCATGACCACCCACCTCTCTCCCACTCATGCTCCTAGCCTCCCTGTAGCTAGCTCTGGGCAGCTGTGTGACAAGGGCTGGCCATCCACACCCACACAAATCTGCGGAGGGCTTCTGAGACTGTTTCTGGTTCTGGATAAAGAGAGATGGCATGCTCTATTCCATCCTCCTCCTTCCTACTTCTAATGCAGATGCAATGTCTATTTTACAGCAGCCACCCTACGACCATGAGGTTGAAAGCTAACATATGCCATTTTGTGCACCTACTATGAGCCAAACTCTGGAACAGAGGATACCATATCCCCATTGTGTGACTTAATGACCACAGCCATCTTGTGCAGTGAGTATTGTTGTACCCATGCTGGTGTCATGGTCTGGCGCCCTCTGCTGGGAAGTGATTGAATGCCTTGCTGTGTAACTGAAGCCTGTGGACATTCTGCTATGCCAAGCCACCAGGAAGCCAAGCGCAGAGTTCCGCAGCTCTCTCAGGACAAAGGAGGCTGGGGCATAGGGGAATGCACTGTGCAGGGCAGGCAGGGGCCAGTCCTACTCCTGCCTGTGCCAAGTGCCCATGGGACCCCTGAAGCTCCAGTCCTCAAGCTCTCCAAGTCTCTGGGCCTTGAGTAGCTGCAAGATGACCAGCAGACAACCCTGGCGGGCAGCAGGGGACTCCACCTCACTAACAACTTGGTCACACCTTGCAAAAGGCTTAACATGAGCCGGACACGGTGGCACACGCCTGCAATCCTAGTGACTCAGGAGGCTGAGGTAAGAGGACCCTGAGTTCAAAGCCAGCCTCAGCAAAAGCAAGGCACTAAGCAACTCAGTGAGACCCTGTCTCTAAATGAAATACAGAACAGGGCTGGGGATGTGGCTCAGTGGTCGAGTGCCCCTGAGTTCAATCTCTGGTACCAAAACACAAACAAGCAAACAAACAAACAAAAGGCTTAACATAACAACTTGGGGTTCTTAACATGATGAATTAAAAAGCAGAATGACCGCACTTATCGCTGCTTGTTCCTGGACTGCCCCAGACACACAGGGAACCAACACTCTGGGGAAGGGAGGCCCCAGGAGGCCCCCGACGGCCTGTTACTTCGTGTGTGGGGAGGGAGGAGCAGAGAGGAGCTGGAGGAATCTACCCTAAGTACATTGGGATGGGCGTGTCATGGCGAGAATTGCCACCACCTCCCCCCCCACCCCATGGCTCCAGGTGAAGGTGGAAGGGGCGAGGCAGGCATGGGGGAGCCTGTCCAGGTTCCCCTGTGTGAGTCGACCTGGCATTTCTGACAAACTGACGTAAGCTGTTTTAAACGGCCACACCGAGGAAGCCATTGGAAACTCGGCTCAGAGCCCTGTGCACTGCTGAGGCCGGGCCACACCCAGGGCCCTGAACCCGTGGCCAGCGCAGCCTCCGCGAGGCACTTTCCCGAGTTTACGTCCTGCCTCCAGGGCCCCAGCCCCATTCCCACCCTCAGCCCTTTAGGGTCTCTGTGGCACATCTTTCAATAATTATCTTTTTAAGTCACTATGGTAAAAGGTGGGTTGTGAAACGTGCCATTTAACCACGTTCAGGTGCGAAGCTTGGTGGTGCTAAGTGTGCCCACGCTGTTGGGGACCGGCTCCCCATCCATCTCCAGAACGTCATCGTCCTCACCAGAAGCTCCATCCCCACTAAGCCCTGGCTCCCTCTTCCTCCTCTGGCAGCTGACTCTGGACAACCTGTCTTCATGGATCTGATGGCTCTGGGGACCCGGCAGAAACAGAATGTGCTAGAGCTGCCTGTACAGGGGTGTCCTAAATTTACATATGTTATTTTATAGACATCGAGGATCCTTTTTCTGGACTCAGTACTGTTTAAGACCCACCCAGCTGACAAAGGGCTCCAGGCTGCTCCTCCATCCCTGGGTGATGGAGCCTGAGTTGCCTCTAGCGGCCCCTATCGGTCGCAGGTTTACTGGGACAATTTGGGGACCAGTGGGTTTCCACCCAGTACACCTCCAGGACGACCCAAGCCCCCACGCCCTCCCCACCAGCACAGCTCGAGTCACCTCCCCGTCCTGTGATACTAGAGATTCAAGCTCCAGGGAGAAACTGACACACGTGCCTGAGGTGCCAGCCCGGAAATCGGAAATCATAAGGATGCTCTGCGTTTGACCTTGGCTGAGGCTAGGTGTCTGCTTTTGAAACCCTGGCTGAAAATTTCCAGGATGTTATGGAGAGAGAACAGATGGGTCATGCCCCACGCCCTGCCAGACCTCATCAGGCCACATCAAAGGATTTCAGATCTTTAATTGCTGGTTTGCAAATAGATGCTGATTAATTAAGTCAGGAGGACAGCACCTGGGCTTGGAAACAGTCTTTAGCATCTCCAGCCAGGCCTCTGGCTCACACCTCTGCCCACCCCTCCCCCACATCCCTGTCTGCATGCACCTGAGGGCTACCTGAGGTGCGGCTCCCTGCCTTGCCTGTGCCACTTCCACCATCAAGCCCCCAGCTCCTGGCCAGCCCATCTTCCCCCTGGGCTGCGAGGGACAGGGCTGGCTGGCCTGGGCTGAGTCAGCCTCCTTAACCAGGCCCTGCCTCCAGCAGCCACAGCTGGCCTCACAGCCTGACCTCAAGCCACATCCCAGAAGAGGCTGGAGACTCCAGCCTCACCTGCCAGCAAGACAGGGTTCAGAACTGGGGCACCATCCCCTCTTAGAGGGTCCAGGTCAGTTCTGGAGGTTCTGGCCCTGCCTGCCTGGGGCTGAGGTCTCTGCCATGGGCTGCTCCAGGCACTAGAAGGAAATGCCCCTGGCAAACGTCTCCTTGGGGACATGATTTATGACACAGGTATGCACCGAGTCCTCAAAGCTTTCATTGATGAGGTGACGATCCAGTGTTTGGAAGCCTCAGGTGAAAGGACAACAATCAGCCTGAGTTTCCTGTTGCTGCTACAACAAACAAGGACAAACCTGGTGACTTAAAACAACACAATTTTCTTCTCTTGCAGTTGGAGGTCAGGAGTCTAAAGTGAGTCTCACTGGGCTGCAGGTAAGACGGGAGGAGAGTGGCTCCTGCCAGGCCCGGAGACTCTGCCGCTCTGCTGCTCCCAGCTCCTGGAAACTGCCTGTCCCAGTTCGCCACTCCTTCTATGCATGGCTCTGGCACCTCCTTCCACGGTCACGTCTACCGACTCCAAGTCCCCTGCCCTCTTTATTCTTGTAAGGACCCTTGTGACATCACTGCACCCCCTGGATGACTTGGTGACATCTCCTTAATTCAATCTCATCTGTGACTTCCTCTCACCATGGCAACATGTC